ATGTTATATGTCTCGGTTGCACAGTAAACATGTGATTGTATATAATGAAATGGAAATAAAAAAAAAGATTTGTACAGAAAAAAAAAAAAAAGCAGTCTCAGAAAAAGGAAAACGGCTATTGGGTGATATATAAATTGGGAATTGATATTGCAAGAAGGAGGAAGAGCAATGATTTTCTACAATCCCCCTTGTAGTAAACCTTTTTATGCTATTCCAATTGAAAGAATAAGAATAAATAAAGAGAGATTCAGAAAAGGTCTCTTCCTTCCAGCAAGAAGCCTTTACTAGATCCTGCTTCTTGATTGAGGGTGATTTTGTCAATGCAGATGGTGTTCAAGTGTTATTCCAGTTGTTTTTGGATTGCTCCCAAGGAATCTATTACTATTGGTACTACCTTCATTTGTTGTTGTTGTTTACACAGTCCGAAGATATTTAGACTAATTTGGCATTTTTATCAACATGTCAAGTCCTTTCCAAGAATTTGAGATAGGCAAATGTTTTTGGAAGATGATATTAAATGTATTGTGGCAACCTAGCCTAAAGGACTGGGCATCTTACAAAATATTAAAAATACACCATTAAAACAGTTAAAAACATAACAGCATTACTACTTGATATGCTTTTTATATGTTTAATGAAACTTTTCTGCTTACCTGCAATAGGTGGGCCAACTGTCATTGGTATAGACATCAACCCCAAAAGGAATCCAATTGCTTCGGAAACATGATGTGCGCCAACTAACTCAAAAGCAATAGGTGCCATGATACAAATGAAGCATCCATCAAAAAGGCCCATGATAAGGCAGACAACAATAAGAGCTTCAAAGGTATTGCATAACGGGATCATCATAGACATCAGGCCAATTAACAAAAAGGATATCACCTGTACAAGAGGAATACAAGAGGAAATGAAACGGTGAAAAACAGCAAAGGGATTCTATTATTGTATCCATTGCAAATGATTTTTTTCCACCAAAAATTAATTTAAAAATTCCACCTAGGTCAAGCTTAGATTTTCTTAAACAAACAAAACTAAGCAAAATCTGACATAGTTGTACTTAAATTCCTTATATTATTCAATTCAAGGAAATCCCAAAGTAGCAAAGTAAACTAGGGAGTAAGATCTTTATAACTGCTACTATAAAGAAAGTAATAGTAAACCCACTTTTTATTGTGGGAACTTCAAGAGAACTAAGCTGATGTGTCTATATAGTCATCAGAAGTCTATTTGACTTAGGAAAGTGTCCTTTTATCTAATTGTGTCTACTTGCTAATAGACAGTTCTTCCACCAACGGATTGGGATATCTGTGGACAAAGTAGATGATTTTCACATTTCTTTTTTCTGTGCAAATCTCTCCAGCAACTTTCAATGTTCTCCAGACACCTCAAGGCGTCTTTGGAAGATTTCATGTGGATTGGCAGAGAAAGAGAAATTAATTAGCATTTACTCTTTTTTCCCCCATGAAAGCCAGTATTAGACCAAAAGGCCTCCACAAGTTGAGGGACATCATTAAAAACATATTCTGTTAATTATTTATTGTAAGGTGTCCAAATTACTTTATTATATGCAGCACTACAATTACAAAAACATGGCATAACTCTTATGTTGTTTTTGAAGTCTAGTCCCTTCTTAGACATCAAAGCCGGCTGGGCCAGCCATTCCCTCTCTCTCTCTCTCAGCCCAAGTCACCTCACAGGATTATTCTTGTGAGGAAAATAGAGGAGGAAGGGAGGAAGGAGTATTAGGTACATCTGCTGACTTGAGGTATTTATAAAAATAAATGTGGGATACAAGTGGTCCTTGTTTAATCTTTTAGTCTCTTAGCAACCATCCACAGGTATAATAAACTGCCCCAGAGCTACTTATGACTCGATTACAGAATTCTGATGGCCGCATACACTCCCTCCTACCCCTGCAGTCACAATTGCTTATTGGCTATTTGGCAACTGGCTCACATTTAAAGTTATGTGCCATGTCCTGCGGTCACAATTTTTACTTTTTTTAAAATGGTTTCTGGTGTTTACTTCCGACTTTCAACAAAAAAAAAATAAGAAAATGACTGCACATAACAACTGTGATATTTGCTTAACAACCACTGCAAAAAAGACTGTAACATTGGGTGTGGTGATGTGGTGAACTGCTTAACAACGAAAACGTCTTATGACTGTAATTCCAGGCTCATTTCCAGAGTCAAGGATTCTGTGTTTATGTGTCTGGTGTAAGTTATAATCAGATGGAACAATTGAGAATCCATCCAGATGTCTGGCCTGAAACATCATTCAAATGCAAGACAGACATCCCCTTCCTTTGTTCCCACTGGTTCCTCTGGATGAGAACTATAGAAGGGGAAGGAAGCTCTGTCCATGTGGAAGGTTACCAGAGCAGACTGTCCTCCTCTCATCAGTGGGAATGTCAAAGCATTATTTACAGGAAATGTAGTAATAGATGAGGTTCAAAGTTGGAAAACCATTGAAAGAATATATGAATCTATATTTTCTTCTGCTTATATTATTGTATGCTGTCAGAAATTTGTTGTTTTCTAGCCTCGCAAATTGGAACCTTAATACTGGATGGCATTACTGCAAATGTTATCTAACTGCTGCGTCTCACTTCTATTCTTGGCTTCAAAGCTAGGAACATAGAAGAAATTGTTACACTGGCCACATAGATAAAGGAACCAAACTAGGGAGTTTTCCTGGCTCATAAATCCGTAAAGCATTCTGCCAAAAAACAACTTGGCAAAAGGAGGCTGCTACCCCCTACACAAGGCTATAGGAATACTACATAGATAAGGTAGACAGAGGCAGGAGCTTGAACAAAACAACGCTTTAAAGATCACATTGGTAACTAATCTTTGTCTGATTATCTGATTGGATAACTTTGTTTCTATCTGCTTAAAATGAATATAATACTCTGAGCCACTCTTCTGTGGTGTGGCTATTCCTTACATGCATTTGTTTGTATGTTTTGCATATAGTTTTGTCACCCAGCTTTTGCTATGGCCATAAATAAAAGCTGATATGTTTTTCAAGCCTCATCTGCAGTCTCAATCTCTCTAGCATTTCAGTGGCTTGGGAAAACTGCTGGAACCTTACACCATCAATTTCAAGAAGGGTATGCAATTTCCTTTGAATAAGGCAAGGAAGCAGTTTGGAAATGCTCTTAGGCTGTGCAGTTTTACCAGAAGTTTAAATGGCCATGGCCACGTGGCCAGGGAACTTTTTTTCCATTCATAAATACCATATTTTTCAGAGTATAAGATGCACCTTTTTCCCTCAAAAAGAGGGTGAAAATCTGGGTGNCCGGGAATATGGCGGCATATAAATAAAATGAACCTTGAACCTTGAACCATCCTTGGTTTTCCTGCAGAGAAAACTCATAAGGCTAAATAGAAGAGGCTCCTTCCATTTCTCTTTGCTCAGGGATGGCACCTGTAGCAGCCATGGAAATGTCCCTTTTCTTTATTGCCCCCCTCCTATCTGGCATTCAGAAAGCCTGGAAAGGACCAGTTATTGATGCATATTTGGGAGTGGTGGGGGGAGGAAAGAATTATATTTTGTTTTGAACAATTCACTGTGTTTTACACCAAGGATCTTATCAGTGTGATGTTTTAAATGTATTTATGTCATATTTTGTATTTTGGTTTTAGTCCATATTACAAAGGGAGAGTTGAGTTATCTCTGAATTGGTAGTGACTACAGCAGCCTGTAAAATAAATATCCAGCTAAGCAAACAGATTGTTTCTTCATCATCTAATAAATTCATATGTGTTAGCATGCTTCTTTAAGTACTGTTGTCAAGTTCCCTTTAGGACTTGTAAAAAAGAGAAAAAAGAAAAAAATAGTTCAAAAATACAGAAATAAAAAAGATGATCCAACACAAAAAGGCAGGGATAAATTCTCTCATAAAAGTAATAACTAAAGTTTGCTGTCCAAAACTGGTTTGCTTTCTCAACAAAACATTACAAAATCATCTTTCTTAGAAGAAATTTTTGCTGCAATGTAAGAAAAGCAGTAAACATCTGATTATAATTATGCCCTGTAGATCTCTATGAGAAGTGAACAAAAATATAAAACAATTTTATATATGCAGACATCTCAATAGCCTGTGGACAATATTTTCTATCTGTTTAAAACTGAAGTTGTAAACAAACACAGACATACACACACACACACACCCCCTCAGAAATGAAATTCTTTATTGTATATGTTCCGCTTCTGTAAACCTAGCATAAAATTGGTTTGAGCACCTCCGTGATTTTTCTAATAAATAAAAATCTTAAGATATGAACAGAAGTCATTCCATGGATATATCTTTTATTGGTAAATACAGAGGTAACCTTTGTCAGTTCAGTGCTTTTCAATCTCCTTTGAAGAAGCCATTTAAATTCATTTGCTACATTTCTGTGCCTCACGAGTCCTGGAGCTAAAAAAACAACAACAACTAGAAAGACAAAGATGCTGTAATGATCACATTTATTTAGATAATCAATTTACTGGATATGGCAGCCCAATTCAGAGATTGTGACTTTGGGTGGCTTACACAGAAATAAAACAAGAAACAGGAACCAGAAAACAACAGAAAATAGAAGAAAATTGAGCCAAGCCAAAATTATAAACCACTGAAAAATGATTAAACATCTTGTCCCAATGCCCAGAGGAACAGACAGTTTTTCAAAGCAATTGGTGCACAAAATGACTTCTCAAGCAGGAGCCAAAAGTCCAAGACCACCCCTAAATAGGCCACCAGAACTGGAGGCTACAGCAACTTGGGTCTTGCTAGGATTTTGCCGAGTGGCATGCAGTTGCTGAATGTGTGCTAAAATATTGTATATCTTTTACTTAGTAGAATGCAAGCAACAGTATGTTGGCATGCAAGCTAGTCTCTTAGATTGTAGATAACTTAGCTTGCATCACATAGCACAGTGATGGCTAACCTTTTTGTCGTCGCGTGCCAAAAGCATGCCTTGCGCCCCCTGTGCATGTGCACACACCCCCGTGCCCCATTTTGGGCCTAGCAGACCTCTCTGCAGCCTCTTGAGACCAAAAACAGGCTGTGGAGGGAGGGAATGCATGTGCAACTCCTCCCATGTGTCTCCTGCACGTGCCCCACCACCCAACGCATGTGCGGCAGAGATCCGAAAACCAGTTGGCCAGCGGGAGGCACATGCACATGCATGGTGGGGCGACGGTTCATGCCATAGGTTCGCCATCACGGACATAGCATGTATGCATTTAGTGTAAAATGGTTTTGGTTACATTTTTTTTTAGAAAGACAATTATAGTAGTACAGATGAGTTGTTATGGGCTCATCTAGTGACAACGTATGTTAGATTGTGACTTGGAATATAAGAATAAATGAATAAAGAGCATGGATTAATTGATTAAATGAAAGAAGCAAATATAGGTATGTTATATGTCTGTGAAACTAAGGGCTTATCTGCCCTGCCCTGTTGCCCTGTCTGCTTTGGCTAATGTCCTTTAATACTAATCCCAGCAGTTCACTGGCTACATCTTAAAGGCAAGAGTGACCCTCACAGTTTAATCAATGGTTACTCTGTGAGTGTTCCAGAACCATCTTCACCAGGAATGCTAGAATAGTACAATGTTTATAACACTGTTAACAAATATGGTAGAAGGTTGCTGGTTTGGAACCTGGTATATTTTTTTTAATTACTGTTTTTATTTCCCTGAGTCATTTATATTTCCCTGTGAGATTGCAACATTTTTCATTTTTCCAGTCACTTAGGGAAGTAGAATTTAACCCTCAGGTCCAAAGGGTTGCTTTCTACTTCATGACTGTAAAAATGGTGAAACTGCTAATACAGCATTCTTGCTAAAATTCACTCTAAAGGATGTTGGAGACCAACAGAATAGTATGA